CGCGGGGCTCGAACCCAGGACCTACTGGCTTCGCGCGCGAGCACTTAACAATTAGACCACTGAGCCGGCTGGCATCCAACGGTGTTAATGTCTAACTTCAACCAATCCACGAAGTTGCGCTACCGTACACCATTGATCTAGCTTCAACTGACTCATGAGTTCAATCTGTGAAAATTTCTAAAAATCTCCACAAAACACATTCTGATAATAATAATCAACTGCTCACTAGTGACTGACTTCAGGAGACACTTCTGGAGTTCTAGTGAGAAGTCGTTACCAGTGGAGTTCAACCAGGTCTGTTGTGAGATAGGAACTCACTGAAGACAATGGTGTACGGTGGCGCAACTTCGTGGATTGGTTGAAGTTAGACATTAACACCGTTGGATGCCAGCCGGCTCAGTGGTCTAATTGTTAAGTGCTCGCGCGCGAAGCCAGTAGGTCCTGGGTTCGAGTCCCGGGTGGTGCGGGGTCGTGGATGCGCACTGCTTAGGAGTCCTATATTGGGACGAAACGGCCGTCCAGTGCTTTCAGGTTTTCAATGGTGGTCTAGCTTCAACTGACTCATGAGTTCAATCTGTGAAAATAAGTTTACTAGTTTCTAACTTTCAACAGTTGTCTATTTTAAGTCAGTTAACGATGTGAAATATCGTGACAATACTGATTACATTACATTCGTAGAAAAATAGAAAAAAACAACACTAAATCATTTCTATCTACTTTTTTGTACAGTTCAACATAGAGATTAAACAATCATGAATAAAATAACTCAATAATTAGATGATCAATTTAATCAATAAAAGATTTTCACTCAAATGATCTTATGAAGAAAAACAAAACATATTATTGAATGTAGAATAGCATTTATTATGTGCATAAGTGTTAATGTTGACGAATCTTAATCATAATTGAGCTCCTTACTTCACCGAAAGATATAAAAAACTGTCATCATATAACACAAAATAAATTGTCCTCACTAGTATCCAGTTGAACATTAAATACATGTTCTGTACATTTAGTTGATTCTTTTTTTCACAGTGTATGATTAATAACTGTTATGTTCTGAGGTCTCGATCAATAATTTACTTTCGAAGACGCTTTATCACCCTGATGTCCTAAAAGAGAGGGCTGAGCCTGTGTAGAAGCTTTATTAGTAGAGCTGAATTCTAATATGCACAGCTAATGCCTAAATATTTACTACCAAGTTGTTCGAGATATAAATATTAGGGATAATCTCAAAAACGTGAATAGTTCGTTTACTTGTAACATCCCACCTACGCTTTTATTTCTCACTTACTACGAGACCTTGTAACAACATAACATTCTTTTTAGCCTACATGGCAATTTACCTTCCTCTCCTGGAAAATTTTCGTTTTTGCACGCGCTTATGTTGCTTCATATGGAGGTACATCACCATTTTTAGTTAACTTTGTTATTTAGTATTCTGTTCAGTGTTTTATTTGAATTTGATTTATAAATTTCAAATGAGTGTGAATTGTAGATTAAAGTTAGACATTAACACCGATAATCAGACATATAGTGGTTGAGACGGGTAGACTTTCATGAATTCTTAATACGACCAGGTAAAATTTTTTAAAAATGACTTTTCTCTAAATGAAGTTGTCTGACTTTTGATTTCAGTTATCAATAAAGAAATAAACTATCGACTGAAATCTTGCAATTTTGCTTTCATTTATAGTAACCCATTCGAGAAAAGAGGAGTTTGATTCAAAACATTACGATATCTACAACATTTCAACATTAGTAAATTTTAATCACCATACAGAAAAATTATGTAATAGATTTCATTAAACACTTCAGATTTCATGTATGACGTTGATAGTGGCTGTTCAACCAACTAGCTACCCAGCCTCAAGTTTTACTCATTCACTCTCTCTCTCTCTCGATATATATAGATATGGTTAATGAAAGTCAAAAATAAGACAGTAACTCAAAAATGACACTGAATGAGAATTTACATTTCTAACAAACTGATAGAGATTTGAACATATGATCGACTCTTCGGCTAAGTGCTAAATTGTTCGTCGCAAGATCCGAATAGAGTAGTCGTAATTTTGTGGAAACTTGGAGTGTGGATTCCAGAAGACTTTCAAACTAAGATAAAATAGCTTTTCCTTTCTTACTAGTTGTCAGTGATTTTCCACTTCAAGTCTGTTTACGATGAAAAATACTTCCAAGCTTAAAATAGACATGTGACTAGAAAAGTTCTCAAAATATTTTTATTTAAAGTCAACCAAATATTTCGACAAGCATAGTGTGATTTTGATATGTAGATCCCCATTTATAACATCACATTTTCGAATGGAAGAATTTAAAGAAAAACCAAATGCCAAGTGTTTTTAACTGATCAGTGTTTGCTTATAACTATTTTATTTGTTAAATCATTCGGTTTATTCTTCATACTTCATGAATGAATACCGCTGAGGAGCCCCACAGTAGGCAGAAACGCGCGTCCAGTGTTTGAAGTTTTTCAGTGGTTGTTACTAATATTGTAGAATTAGGATATGATATTAAAAATTATTTTTGACCAAATCAATCAACAATGGTGTACTTATTATAATGCAAAAATATTGTAGTTTTGAATTTTATGAGTTCTATCATTAAATACCTCTGACAGATTCTAATCCAAAACGAAGGAATGTTACTGCATTCTCCGTTTTTCAATTTCCTTTATTTTATCTTTTAAATAATGGAGATTGACTTCAAGTCCCACAAATAATCATCTCAACACAGTTTTAAAATATTGAAAGTTTATTCATACCTGTAATTAAAAGATCAATCTACATAGTAAAACAATTTTATTTCTTCAATTTGAGATAATGGACTACTTACTAAGGTACAGCAAAGATATGATGAATATGTTCAAATCATTTTCATCACTGAATAAGAAACATTTATGTACATCCACGACTTTTTCAGCAGTTGAATCTAGTGCTGTCATGTTTTGTAATGAGTATGTTACGTTTAGATTTCTGAGTTACAAAACAGTAGTCCAAAGTTTTAAGTATAAGATGGGTTATGTGGATAGTATAGTAATTTCAATGGTTAAGATCATGAGTCAGTTGAAGTTAGATCACCATGAGAAACCTGGAAGCACTGGAAGGCCTTTTTATCCTGTTATGGGACTCCTCAGCAGTGCGCATCCATGAACTCGCCACCTGCGAATCGCCAACCCAGGACCTACTGGTTTCGCGTACGAGCACTTAACCACTAGGCCACTGAACCGGCCGGCATCCAACGGTGTTAATGTCTAACTTCAACTAATCCACGAAATTGAGCGACACATCTACCATTTTCTTCAATGAGTTACTATCTCACAACAGACCAGGTTGAACTCCACCAGTCACTACTTCTCACTAGAAATCCAGGATATACATAGTGAACCTCATGACTCATGATCTTCACCATTGAAATTACTATAATATCCACAAAACCTCATCTGATATTAATCAATATATTCTCACTCAATTTATTAGGAATTATTAAGTCAAACCTTAATAATGATACCTACAAATTTTTGGTGGTTAGTATATTTGTGATTTCCGGTTTTCATTGGTTCGTCAGACAAAATCAAGCTGTAAGCAAAAATATCTTTAAAATTAATCTGTAACTTATAAATCTCTCAAAATGAAGATTTCTACTTATAGGTCTAACTAGTCATTCATCACAGGTACATTAGATTTAAAAATAAGTAGTAAAATACAAAATAACACTTCATCACTATTTATATTAATTAAGATCATAGCCAAACATCTAGAGCATGTTTCATGTATCAGTGTATTACATATATATATATATATATATAGTGGGCAGATCCCGAAAAGTCGATAAAACTGGACGTATGTATGATATTAATTCTTAAAACACTGTATCAGATTAGTTTAAATTCCACTATAAATATCAATTATGTTATCGCTGAAAACTCATTGACAATTTCCAGTTAGTATGAGATCTAGGTCTCAGGTTTCTCATTGATCACTTTCAACCATTTTAAATAATACAATATTATAATCGACATTCAACACAAATTGTAATCTCTTGTTTAACTATCAGTATACTTAAGTTCCTCTCCAACAAATACTAGAAATATTTTAAAGTTTTTACCATGGTTATTCTATATTTAATGTAATATAACTACATTGTCGTACATTTTCTTATTTACTTTCTGGCTTACTATGTCATAATTCCATAATTAACCTGAAGCTGAAAATCTGTAACATATATATTTTTTAATCAGTTGTTTAAAATATACTACTATCCTTCAAACTTTAACTTAAGTGATGTCAAGGCCGTGTATTGTTAATGAATTTCAAACTAGACTGAAGTACTTGTCCTATTCTATCTAATTTCTCCTGTTGTTTTTAATTTCAAGTCTATGTTTCTTACTGTTATCTGGATAAAAATAAAAATTTTTACAACTAAAGCATACAGTTTCAAGAATTCATCTTTATCTAAGCTCTCTTGTTCTATAACGCTATAGATAGATAGATAGATATATTACCGCCTTATTGTGATTTTTTTTTCTGTCTATTACACTTACATTTACATTAAGTCAATGAGTCAAATAAATTTAACATTCAGTTTTGAACTTGAATAATAAATAATATAAATATAACTGTTATACTTGGATCTCTAGAAGTCAATCACTATATATTAATGTCGACTCTTCTATCATCTGCTTTCAGTCATTTAAAAAAACAAAACAAAGTCATAATCACTAAATGATACTAGAACAATATGATTAAGAATAGAAATATTTTGTAACTTAGTTAATAAGAACAGTGTATTTGATGTTATTTTTAAAGTATTGTTTATTCAATAACAGAATCACGATACTTGTTTACACAGTGATACACAATTGAGTGTACGTACTTACATATAGACATCGACGTCTATTTACTAACAGACAGATTAACCAGAAAATGGTATAAAAATGATTTTGTTAATTCATGTTAGTTCATAATTGTTTATTATTTAACAAGATGAGTTCTGTACGTAAGATTCAATTATTAAGTAAGTTTAAATGGTATTTATTTTGAACAAAAAAGATAATAAGATTCATTATTCAATGTTGATAGGTGATATAAAAATTGATTATTTGATGTTCAACTAAGAAATTAGAATTTCTTAAGGAGTATTGACTTTCATTTTTATCTTTGGAAAGATGATGTAAAATTACCATTCAAATATTACTTATCGATTCAATATATATATATTTATTACTAACCGGTTTTTTGATGAGAAAATTCCACCTATCATAGAAAAATAATCCAGCTGTTGTATACACTATCTTTTATAATGCTAAATATTTCTTAAGTTTATTAGATTACAATAGAAACATTAATCATTGAATGATCAATAAAAAATGTAACAGAAACAAGGATTGCACAAAATGTACATAATTTCTCTTAGAAAACATGTCATCTTATACATCAATTGTGTATTCATTAAATTATTATTTTCTGAATAAAAAGCGATAGCGTTACATGTGTTAGAAACAGGAAACAAGATTAATTTTGAAGGGACCAAAATACTTCAAAAAGGTTTTAACACCTATAAAGAAAGATTGACAGCAGAAGCTCTGCATATATGGGCGAACAAGAACAGCCTGAACCGAAAAGATGGTATTCAAATGGCAACTACCTGGCAAATTTCGTTTGACAAGTAAAATTTGGAACCTATCTCTTGTTTAAACCTGTTTTTCATATCACATTATTATTGAAAGAACTGAATGAGTTTCTAAACAATACAATTTATGTTTTGACATGCACATCGATCTTTCATTATCAAGTTTTTCATCCTTGAACTTGAACTTTATTTATTCCTTCATATCAATCTCTCACACATGCATACATACATACACACACACACACATACGATTTGTTACTCAGTTAAGTATTTCCATGTAGTTGAATTCATCACATGATTTGTAGTCAACTGACTCATTTTATCCTATTTTACAAAAAATCAACACCCAAATATGATTGGTTTAACACAGTATAATCCTGATTGTTGAAAGCTATATATATTTCTTTGATAATTTTGATTTTGATTATTACCCTGAAGAAGTCCAGACAAGTTTGCTGGACGAAACGTTGGAATTAGTTATATTTCAATCGCTGAGACTATTTCAAATATAATTTTCACATATAATGACTTCTCTATACTCGGCGCTCAATTACTGTCAAACTATTCGTTCTAATCTTGACGAATATTCGTATAAAAAGAATTCTTATTTATAAAGTTCAATCTTCTCTCTGTTTGCTTGTATGAACATGTTATTCTCGAGATGATGAAGAAGATTTGTAGCTCAGGTGAATGATTATGATGAAGTTTTGTTCACTGAGCTGGATAGTTTTGATAGTGAAGCTTTCATTGTTCTTTTGAACTATATCATCAGCACAAATTCAGGTAGAAGTCTACTTCTACTTCTATCAACAACAAAAAATATTATTTTTGTAACAGTTTAATCATGTTAGATTCATTCACGAATTAGCAGAATCTTTTCAAGCGTAATAGAACTTTAATGATTATGTTATTAGTTACACACTCAATCCATTTTTAATTCAGATTAATATAATAAAAAAAATTTTATTCATTACAATAATGTTAACTATTAAATGTGTATAGTATACTGTTTACTAAACGTACTTCTGAGTACTAAATTATACAGGAAAGACATAACTTATTGTAGAGTAAATGCAAAATATGAATCTTTCAATATATAAGATTTACAAACGTTATCATCTGGATGTATCTAAGCGTTAATCTGTAGAATTATAGTGTACTATGATATTAGTATTGCTCTAATGATAGACCTAATCCAAAATTTGTAGATTTGTCATGATATAACTGCCTAATCTATAAGATCTTACGTGGAAGTCACACCATCGACTACACCAACTCACTGTATCGCATCAATTACCAATACATGATGTAGAACAAGGTTAGGCTAGAGAAAGAATAATATATTTAATATGAATAGAAGATATAAGGTAACATTCAGCAGAGACCACGCCTGCATGGCCGAGCCATGCCACTCGACCAACTCCAGTCCATTCAATTCATTCTCCGCGCCTTCTCCATTGTTAGATATTTCTCTGCGTTAAATATTGAATATCTATTTTCTGAGTAGTCTCGTGTTCACAGCTTTGTGGATTGTGTGGCTATTGTCCAATGCCACTAAACTACTCTCCCACCAGAATCAACGTGATGTTGGTTCGATACCAAATCGGATGGGATCGTCGCGTGCCGGAGGTTACCAAGGATAATAAGGATCCTCCGGGTATTGATAAACTGAAAGATAAATCAAAAAGAAGGCGGCAGCATCTATTTTCTGAGTAGTCTCGTGTTCACAGCTTTGTGGATTGTGTGGCTATTGTCCAATGCCACTACAAATCTATACAAACATTTGCTATTTCTATATATAACATTGTCTAATTCACTTATTTGTATATGACTTATTATGGTTTGAATTATTGTGTATAATTCTTCTCTCAAAATATTCCTTGTTTTTCAAATATATCAAATCATTTATTTAAATAATTGGCGTTAAATAAAATTCTTTGTGCATAAGTGATTTAATGGTATGATTAAAATGGAGGTTGATCAGTAACTTCAATAAGTAATATCATTTATTACGTAGTTGAAAGAAATCGTGTATTAAATTATATTATTAAAAGTAAAAACTGATCAATATGATATAACACATTTTACAAACCACAACTATTCACTTAGAAGTCTGTTATGACTCAAATAGCATATGAATGACTTCTTTGATTATGATATTATAAAGGGAAGGAGAAGGAAACAATTTACCGGGTCCTTCATAGTTTCTAAATGAATTTTTCTAATGACCGCCAACAACCTTATAGCTGAAAATATGAATTTCTTTTGAATGAATTATGATGCTTAACTACCTATATTGATAGTCTTATTTGTAAGCTGAGTTGACATAAATCGATAGACAATGGGGAAAAAAATTGAATAATTTAACATTATTAATTTTTATATCCTATTTTATAATAATAAAATCCCTTATATTTATTTAAATTATCATTCATAAAAATTTTCATGTCTATAGGTGAACAACAAACAATCATGAATTGTGATAGTAAGTTTAAGTAAGTTAAACTTATAAACTTATTCAATTATTAATTTTAAAACTTCATGCAGAAAACTGATTCTATCCCAGTATTATTCAAATATATACAACAAACCAACTGTAGTTTTAATGATAACCTGTTACATGTTTAAATGGGATAATTGTAAATAGTAATATTGATGCTTGGTTAAGATAAATAGATTTTAAATTAGTCTCTACCACAAACGGTTGTATAGAATGGAAATTTTCAAAAACTATAAAACAATTAATACTATTGTAATTACAGATCAACATAATCTGTTTCATCCTTTTATGAGATTCATCAGAAGTACTCATTATATGAATTCGCAATAAATCATTGTATTTTTATAGTATAAGATTCCTGTTTTACATTGTAGACATACAACATTACATTTATGAGGTTCAACTGAAAAACTGTGTTAAAACTCAGTGATCCGTAATTCAACTCTTGATATAGTGAAGCTCCAAGTGTTTTCATTAAATTGAAGCGACATAACTTGATGACTATAGTTGTACTATGTCTGCAGTCAAACCATTCACAATATGTGGCCATTTATTCTAACTTTCGGTACTATATAAATTTATATATAAACGAGAGAGATTTATGGAAAAGCTGTTAGAATAATACTTTATGTTCCAATGTATGATCGTGAAGCGGAAAAAAATTATTAGGGTTCAGTGAAGGTTTTTATTTTTACAATAATTTACCTAACTAATATTGGCTCTTAATAAAAATTAATCAAACACTAATCAATAACTATGATCATAAGTCTAAACGTTAAAATTCACCGACACATTTTGCGACTTTCAATGGTTTTTCACTCTGTTCAAGTATTCATAAATCGTTCATTCTATGTTGTACAAACATTAAAGCCGGTGAATGTGATTCACTTCAAAGTACTTCGACTTCATGGAAATATTTCATATATATATATATATATATATATATATATATATATATATATATATCAATCTTAACATATTTAATATAAATAATATTATTAAATATTAGCGTTTCTAGGTATATGATGAAATTTTCGACGTGTAATATTACAGTAGATATTACTCATGACACTAAATGGTGACGTGCTAAACAGTGAGTAGGATTAACTACTATAGTGATAGAAATGAGGGAATATTTAAAAGCAAAAGTAATAAATAGATTACCATGGTAGTTTGTAATGAGATTTCTATCATTTTAATGTAATTTCGTGTCGTTAACTGATTGAAGCTAGACTTGTAAACTGTTAGATACCGCTACAATGGTCTAGAGGTTCACCGCTTGCATGCGAGCTCAAAGCTCTCGGATTTGATTCCCGCTTACAAAGTCATAGTTAAGCCCTGTTATAAAGTCACATGCTAGAACAAAACGACCATCCAATATCTCCAAGTTCTCAAATAACTTTCGTCCGTTCATGATTTCAATGTAAATTTATACATTTTTAACTTTTAGATCATGTTTTTCGTTTGTTTGTTTGTTTGTTTATTGTTGTTGTTGTTGTTTTTTTTTTTAAATATAATTTAGTGATTCATTTTGGTCAGAAGTTTTTAAAACAGTCGATAAAAATCATGATGGACGAATAAATAAAAAAGAATTTAAAAAATTCATGTTAACTAATGGCGGTAAATTTACTACAAGTGATATTAAAAAAATATTTGCTTATTGTGATACAGACAATAGTGGTTATATTGATTTTTTGGAATTCAAAAATTTTATGGAAGGACATTGATGAAACATATTCAAATTCAATTTGTGCACTATATATATACATATTTCCGTTTATTTATTTAAACAAAGCTTGGATTACTTTTAATGGTTTCCTATTTTTTTTCTTTTTTGTCTTCATGTTTATACTATTGTTTATCATTTGATTTGTTTGTTTTCCTGATATCTCAAGTGTTTCAAAATGGCAAATTACAAGAACTTCATATATTTCATTTGTGATGTTTAAGGTTAAATTGAAAAATTACCTCCTCAATTATCAGATTTTCTGCTTAATATTCATTTAACTACTTTGTTTATTATTGAAAATCAGTCATCATATTTCTTGTATTCATTCGGCATAATAAGAAAGATATTATTATTATTATTATTATTATTATTATTATTATTATTATTATTATTATTATTATTAACTTAGTGACAGAAGAGAACAGTTGTTGGTTATTTTGGGATTTTGATTCCCTTTTTTTTTTGAGTATTCTCTTAGTGATTACAAAGTCATAAATTATGTATCAAAAATACAGTGAATGTTTGTTCTAATGATTTTGTCTTTTAAAATTTATTCTACCGATTAATATGTGCAATTATCACTATATCTGCTTTGTTTCTTTCTCTAGTAAGAATTTATAACTTAAGTTTATAGCTTTCCTGATATCATTGTCAATCAGTAATCACAATTGATTGATCACTGGGTGGTGATCAATCTCATGCTTGTCTAGTCCTTATTACTGCAGATCGAATGCTATCGATCATGGTGTAATGTGGCCACCAGTCTAGGTGACTCGACACTGCGGGCACTATGTACTGAGATTAGATGGTGGTTGGAGGTAGTCAACAGGAAACCCTGGACCCGGGTTTCGTGCTACTTGGCACTCGTCAGCAAGTTTAAATACACCTCAGGATTAACTACTTCTAATAAATTATTGAATAATATAGACTTCATTTAATTACCGATTAAAGGCATTCTTGAAACTTTAAACACATCAAACATCATGCTTATTTTAAAAAGCAAAAAATTTAGCTTCTACAAAGTTATTTTCATAAATGTTTTCATGCTTTAGTCTCTAAAATCATCCGTAAGCCATTAAGTAACAACAGAATCTATTGACACTTTAAAATGTTTTATTTCTAGTTAGATCCCATATAAGTGAAATTTACATTATAAAACGTGCCTACTTTATATGGTGGTTGGAGGTAGTCGACAGGAAACCTTGGACCCGGGTTTCGGGCTACTTGACACTCGTCAGCAAGGTGTACTTGTAATCTTGAAGGAACTGGTGCTCCCTGACGGACCCGATCCTGTGTCACCCAGCTTCACAGTCAGAGACGTTACTACTACCTCCAACCACCATCTAAATCTCAATACATAGTGCCCGCAGTGTCGAGTCACCTAGACTGGTGGCCACATTACAACATGGTCGATAGCATTCGATCTGCACTAATAAGGACTAGACAAGCATGACATTGATCACCACCCAGTGATCAATCAATTGTGATTACATGCCTACTTTATTATAATATTAATAGTAGCAAAACAAACCCTTTTTATCTGAATAGAAAAGATTATTATATAAGGAACTTTATGAACTGATCAATTTTGTAATTATTATTACAATAAGTCAAATAATTAATAAAATAATGACATAATTATGACATCTAGATACGTAGGAAGTCGAATCACTAAGATGTTGCGTAATTTAATTTAAGTTGATACTTCAGAAAATAAGTAAATTAAAAATAACCTCAGTTTAAATAGTCAAGATAAAATATTTAATCTATTCAAAATCAGAATAGGTTTGATTATATTAATGTCACGTAATTTTGGTCAAGGTGATTTTGTGTAGGATATCGTCCTATGAATCTTTTTTGTAGTAAGTATGAGAAATATGAAATTTAGAATATGAAAGAGTCGGAATGTTAGTGTATGTGTGTTATTTGAATGAGTAATGAGCAGAATTAAATGTGTCTATAGAAAAATAGAATACGATTAGATGATGGTTGGAGGTAGTCGATAGGAAACCCTGGACCCGGGTTTCCTGCTACTTGACACTCGTCAGCAAGGTGTACTTGTAATCTTGAAGGAACTGGTGCTCCCTGGCGGATTCGATCTCGTGTCACCCAGCTTCACAGTCAGAGACGTTACTAGTGAGCTATCCGGGCCGCGATCGACCTCCTATAGGAGTGAGACGTAATCACAATTGATTGATCACTGGGTGGTGATCAATATCATGCTTGTCTAGTCCTTATCAGTGCAGATTGAATGCTATCTACCATGTTGCAATGTGGCCACCAGTCTAGGTGACTCGACACTGAGTGCACTATGTTGAGATTAGACGGTGACATTGATCACTACCCAGTGATCAATCAATTGTGATAGAATATGATTACATCGTGAAGTGATTTGAGATTTCAAATATTGATACAAGGTTGTGTAATAACTGAAAGATTGAGAAGAGTAGGACAACGGAAATCGTTCACGGGTCAGACATGTGAGATATAAATGTCCACTTAACAGATATTAAGAAAAAACGAACGGAGTAATGTTTAGTAATAATCATGAAAAATAACTAGAATCTAATAATAAATGAGTAAGGTTTAAAATGTACGAAATATTAAACAAATTAAAGTATTTATTGAGACGAGTCAAAATTTCACAAGAAGACTGTACCAACATAAAACCTATCACAATCGAAACAAACTAATCTGTAGATGTGATTCTGTGTAGATGTAAAATTCAGACTAATGTATTCTCTGTCACCTAGTCTTATGTACACATTTATGATGAATACTGAACAAGAATAGACTAATTCACTTGTAATAGTTGTTTAAATCGTTCCATTGATGTTTACGACTCTGAATAAATAGTCTTTTTTGGTATATGTGCTATCCTATTTAGCTATAATAATTCAATAATTTACTTTGTGAACACATATTTAATATATTATATAATTAAGCATCAATAATTCTTCTAAAGATGCGAATACTTATCACACACGATTCAAGGAAATCATTTTCATACATCATTCACACACACAAATTGATTAAGCCGTTGCTCGACAAATGAGGATACTGAGAAATAAATTGAGGATATCCTTGATAAATATATATTTATTTATTTGGACACATGAATATTGGTACAGGAGAGCGCCAATATATATGCGCCACACAAAACAATGAAAATTCGAGAGGAATACAAAGAAAGAAAAAAAAAGCTAAGGAGCGCAACAAAAAAAAAGAGAGAACAATAACGAAGAGATTGGTGTAAGGTACTGTGCTAGTAATCAGGGAACGCAAAGGTACAATCGGAAGAAATTTTTCAGGTAAGGGAGACAGAACCACTTTTTATGAAGAAAGTAAAAGAAGGTTACAGCAGGATCGCCACTGGCTCCTAACCTGAACCATATCTGATAACGTCTCTAGCCACTGTGTCGCACCATCTCTCAGATCCCAACCAGGGAGTCGTGAAGGACCAACACAAGCCAGTCCTTTGCAGCTTTCTTTCATGCCACGACACCATGTCATGCACTGACCACCTCTCCGCTTCTTCCAACCAGTCCCAGAGTCGGCAAATAATGCACGACGTGGAATTCTCTGGGACGACATTCGGAGAACATGTCCAAGCCACCGAAGTCGGTGTTTCAAGATGGTGACACCGATTGAATTATCATCTCTGTGCCCGAACACACGATGCCGAACCTCTGCATTACTGACATGGTGTTGCCACTGAATGTCAGCAATCCTTCGGAGACAGCGATGATCGAACACAGAGAGTCGTCTAACGTCCTCAACTCGGAGAGGCCAGGTTTCACAAGCATAGAGCAAAACTGCTCTCACCGACGCGTTGTAGATCCGGCCTTTTACAGCCAGACTAACATCACGAAGGCGCCATAGATGGCCCAGATTGGCATAAGCCGCTCTGGCTTTCACTATTCGTGCATTGGTCTCATCACTCACACCCCCACCAGCACTTATGCAGCTACCCAGATACACGAACTTCTCGACTACGTCTATCTGCTCACCATCCAGGGTGAGTACAGGATTGGAATCCTGCCAGTCTTGTAGGAGTACTTTGCATTTCGAAGGTGCAAAGCACATACCATACCTACGGACACTGATTGCCAACTGATTAAGTGCGGATTGCATGCCTTGGGCATTATCGCACAGTAAGACAATATCGTCCGCATACGCAAGGTCGAGAAGTCTTTCTCCAGGCAACAGATCCACACCACCATTACTTACATTCATCAGAGCTGTTTCCAGAATGTCATCGATGGCAAAGTTGAAGAGGAATGGTGAGATTGGGCAACCCTGCCTAACCCCACTACTCGAATGGAACAATGGAGAAAGGTGGTTGTATGCCCTCACTCTGTTTGAGGTGTTTTTATACAGGGCTTTTAGGATGTTAATAAACTTCTCAGGCACACCCTTCTTCAATAGACAATCCCAGAGAACAGTCCTATCCAACGAATCGAAGGCAGCCCTGATGTCAAGAAACACTACGATTGTTGGCCTTTGATAAGTATGACGGTGTTCTAACATTTGGCGGAGGGTGAAGATATGATCAATACATCCTCGACCAGAACGAAACCCAGCCTGCTCCTCGCGAGTCAATCTTTCTCGGGTTTTGAACAACCTACGAAGAATGACGGAAGCCAATAGCTTTACGCAATCGGAAGTAGACTTATCCCCCAATAGTTGTTACAGGAACGACGTGAACCCTTTTTAAAGATAGGGACAACTATCGACTCATTCCATGACGTTGGTACACTCTCTAGTTCCCAAACCTTTGTAAACAACGTCGTCAATTCCTTAGTCAAAAAGTCACCACCATCTTTAAAAAGAGCCGGAGGTAAGTCATCTGGGCCAGGTGATTTGTAACGCTTCAAGAGTTGGAGTTCCTTGCGGACTTCCTCCTCGTTTGGTGGATCAGTCGTCACCGGCCATGGAGGGCAGGACAGTCTGACCGATGTTGCCGGAGCAGCAGGCCAGTTGAACTGCCCTTCGAAA